CTGGGATTCCAGGCATGCACCACCACACCCGGCTTTTTTTTTAAATGTTTTAAAATTTTATATTTATGTAAAAAGAACATGTTTGCAGTGCATGCCTCACAAGTGCAAGGTCCTGAGTTCAATCCCTGGTACCAAAAAAAAAAAAAATGTTTCTTTGTTTGTGGGGGGGGGGGGGGGGGTGTTTTTGTTGTTACTGTTTTTTTGAGACAGGGTCTCACCATGCAGTTCATGCTGGCCTTGAACTCACAGCAATCCTCCTGCCTCAGCCTCCTGACTGCTGGGATTCCAGGCAAGCACCACCACACCCGGCTTTTTTTTAAAATGTTTTAAAATTTTATATTTATGTAAAAAGAACATGTTTGCAGTGCACAATTAGCTATACATTCATTGTGGGGAGTTGGCACAGGTATGTAACACATCTTAATGCTTATGTCCACTTCTCTTTCTCCCCTCCCTCTCCATCAGTGACTTTTAAAATACAGTTTAGCTAGACATAGTGGGGCATACCTGGAATCGCAGCAGTCTGAGAGGCTGAGGCAGGAAGACTGAAAGTTTGAACCCAGCCCGGGCAACTTAATGACCCTGTCTCATAATAAAAACATACTCTATTAATATATATGTACCACTTCCTCCACAAGTGTATTTATTGTATATTGCAAACGTACTAATAAGGAATTTTTAATGCAGTTTAATTTTAGAGAAGTTTTAGGTTTATAGAAAAATGATGCTAAACATACAAAGTTCCCATATACCTCCCACTTCCTGAGCAGTTTCTTATGTTAACATCTTTTGGTTTTGGTTTTGGTACTGGGGATTGAACCCAGGGCCTTCACACTGAGCTAAATCCCCAGTCCTTTTTAAATTTTATTTTATTTTATTTTTTGTTTGTTTTGTTTTTTTGAGACAGAATCTCACTATCTAGTCCAGGCTGGCCTTGATCTCAGTATGTAGCCAGGCTGGCCTCAAACTTGAGTTGATCCTCCTGCCTCAGCCGCTGAAGTGTTGGAATCACAGGTGTGCACCACTACACCT